CTTCTTGCAGTCATCCCAAGTGGTTACAGAATAAGTACTTAGTTTCAGAGATAAAATACAAGATAAGATTCCTAAAATAAGGTTTAAGGGTATTTATAGTAATCCCAAAACAAGTAGGGTGAAGCAAATAAGAAGGCAGAATCTTTCGTTAATAGCGACATGGTCTCCTCGCTACCCACGGGTCGCTACGGCTTGATCGCATCGGTAGGGTTTGTAGCGACCATGCCAAGTTGCTATGGAAGTCACTATGATGATTCGTAGGAGTTCATAGCGACCTGATTAAGTCAGTACGCTCGGGTCGCTATGATACTTGGTCGTTTTAAACTTCGGTCTTGGAAATCTGTAGCGACACCTCCACATCGCTATGGTTGTCACTACAATCATTCGCACAAATCCATAGCGACTTGGGGAAGTCGCTATGCCCGGGTCGCTATAGCACTTGATCAATTTCGAGAGTCTGGCTCATAATTGTTCGTAGCGACTACGCCAAGTCGCTAGGGATGTCGCTACGGAAGCTCGTGAGTGTTCCTAATGACTTAGACAAGTCGCTACGATGACGTCGCTACGGCACTTAGGCTGGTGATGTGAAACAAGTATAAATCTGCTATCTTGGCTCCAAAACAGCTTCTATATCTTCAAAATCGCCAAAAAAGATCGCCAACACCTGATTTATACAAAAGTGATGCAATGCAACCTAAATGCACTCTAAATGTATCTAGAATCTCAAAATGAAAACTAAGATGAAGCTTAAAACCATGCAAATGCACAAGATATCATCTCTCCCCTTTGCACAGTGTCGTTAACTATATATGGTGGAGCACGCCATTACTATGGCGGAGAGGACATCATGAGCCGAATAGCTGGAGATACGTTTTGAACAAAAAGACTTGAAACAAGAAGAAAGTGGAAGAGGATAGAAGTCAGCCACAAATACAGATTCAAACGTTTGTAGAATCAGAAGAAGGGCTTTTAATAAAAGGTAAATGCTTATAGGTAGTATAACATGTTTTTATGGATTATTACCAAGCCACTCAATATATTTATGTATATTAATTGTAGAGAATGTAAGAAAAAAAGATGAAACAATTTTTGAGGAAAAAAACTGAATCATGGAATTATCTTCACACAATCTGACACGAGCTTATAATTTTTTCATATGTGCAAAAGGTGTTGTAACATACATTACATATTCTCAAACTAGAAAATTTGATAACTTTGACTACGTACAAACATATTTCCATTATTCTATAGTGATGATGTTTCTACTACATGCTGGTTTTTTATTGTTTTCATTTGTTTGTAAATGATACACTGCAGCTAAAAATGAAAGAACAGAACAAAGTAAAAGCTTCAAATTAATATTTATATTCAACAAGCTATTTAAGATCAATGTAAAACTTTATAAATCAAACCTAATATTATATGTATGGTTAATTAGTGATAAAAGTGTTAATTTTTTATGTACATGTCAATTTTAGTTAACTGATTATTAACACATAAAAATATGTTCATGCGAAGCATGAGGTCAATACTAGTGTTAATATAAAGCGTTAAAATAAGAGATCAACTCTCTATCTTCGTTTGAATAATTCTCTAAGAACCCTAGAACTCAAATCGCACCAGATATGACTCATCTTTTGTCGTCATATAAACCTTGCTTTTAGAGTAACACTTGCTTTCTTTCTTAATCGCTTCTTTAGGGGAGGCTTCCTTTATTCGTTCATCGAAATCTGGTGAGTTCTTAAACGTTTATGTTATTATCAGTATATACTAGGTCTAATTTCCATCGTATTCATGGTGAATCTACTACCTAATTGGGATGTGTATATGTAGTGAGAAGAGTATGGCGACCACAACTGTTCGTAGGCAGTTGATTTTCCAGGACCAGAATGCATTTACCCATGAAATAATGTTTCTTACATTGACCTTTTAGTTTATGTCAGTTTCTTTCTCATGATATCTGCCTCTGAATCTTTGACTGTTAATACTTTTATAATATATGAAATAAGAAGAGATTCTTCGTATTTGTTTAGAATACATTGTTGAATTCAGTTGGGTTTTAGTGTCCATCATGTATATGTTATCATCTTTAGCTGCGTAAAAGTCACAAGCTTGAGAATGTCTGCTCAAAATCATGGATGGAAGTTGCGTTTATCTTAACTGTTTTATATAGTTATAAAGGAAGGGATCCTGCAGAACTTAATTTATGCTACTAGGAGGGCAGCAAATCTCAAACGCACGGGTCAAATTTGGACTATGTTAGACTTGCCTTCCTACTAATGTAGAAGCTACTGCTTTTGCTTCTTTTTTCTTTTTTAATAATATTGACGTGCCTTATGTAAATGTTCTTGCAGTATCCAAAAGGAAGAGACATTCAAGACGAGGAAGAGACATTATTCTCTTGATGGTTTTCTCACTTCAAGCTTGCTAAAATCCAAGGTGGTCTATAATTACACTTGATAAATCTAGAAGTGACTCAGAGCTTCCAAATGAGTTTTGGGTTTCTCTAATATAAGATTATAGTCAGACGATAAGGGTTGTATCTGTATGATAAAATGCAGCTTTGGTTCTACCATTTCTGATTTTCTTTTTGTAGTATCTATTCTGGTTGTTTCGTTTCAAGAAAATCTTCTGAAAAATCTCAGCAGAAGCAGGTCACATGGTTGACGTTTTCAATCTATGTGTACATTGTTCTGTTTTAAATTGTAATTTTTTTGCATTTGGTTTTCTCCACCGCCTTGGGTTTAAGGCTTTGTATTATGGGATGTTTCTCACGTCTGGTGTCATCTTTCGATCCTCATTAGGAATAATAGTATGGTTCCTGAGATTGTGGCAATGTTCTCTTAATCACACTCTTAAATGTGGCATATATTCAAAACATGCGTGTACAGTTCTTTTAGTGTGGCAAAAAGTTTAAAATAAAGAATATGTAAACAATATAAATTTATGTATCATTCTTTTCATATTTGAGTATGTTTCTCTATTAAATGATTGAAAGGTAAGAAATTTTGTACTATATATTACAAGAGTATATTTATGTAGATTAATATTGATGATGACAGAGTAAATAAGAGTAACTTTTCTTTGTCGACAAATAAGAGTGCGTACAAAAGCGTCAATATATAGAGTCAAGTCAATTACACTTAATATATTTAATTACATTATCATATAAATAAAATATTTATAATTATAAAAGTAAAATTTATTTATGCGTGGCCAGTTAGATCTCCAATTATTATATTTCTTGAAACTAGAAACTATACATTAACCGGAACTAAACCAAAAATATATATATATATATATATATAATTTTGGAAGAAAAAAAAAACAAATGCTCATACCTAAACATATTTATGCGGGTGCACGGAAATCTCCAATTATTATATTTCTTGAATCGAAGACTAGAACCACACATTAACCGGAACAAAACCAAAAAAATATATATAATTTTGATAAAAAAATAAAGGCTTATACCTAAACATATTACCAAACCTATAGCCAGGTTAATAAATTTATCAATAAAAATCATATCTCGCTTGCAAAACGCAGATCATAGTCTAGTCTATGTTAATTGTGTGTAATGGTTTTCTTTAAATAAAAAAAATAATAGTTATGGGGATAAACATTTCTATCAAAATTTATGTTATAAAAATATTGTTGTAATGTTTTATTGCAAAACAATTACTATAAATAAAAATATTTGGCTTATGGCTTAAAAATCTCTCTACACGGTTTTGAATGTAACGTACATTGATTGCTGTTAGAAGTTGCCATGATGGTCCAGTATTGTTGTTTGGACCTCTCTTACAAGATAGAATATCTCGTGGCCATCTTGGTGTGCGTACAAAAGCGTCAATATATAGAGTCAAGTCAATTACTGACCTGGGACCATATGTTTTGTTTATTTGCTCTCTGTAGAAACGTTCTCCGTCTTTTCTGTCAGTGAAAAGTTTCTGGAAATCTTCATATGTTCATATACAAATCGTAAAGTAACTCTTCTTACTTGTGCACCTAGAATATGGTTCGGGATATTAAGTAGCATTTAGTGAGTGTTTCCAATTTTCAACTAAAAAAATAAAGAGAGCTAGAGTATTTAGGGTTTACGAAAAGAGAAAAAGATTATTTCTTTCAGACATACCAGTGCTTAGTGTAGTCTGTTGAGTGTGTATGATCCAAAAGATGAAGTATTGTCCTTACATACACAGAGCGGGGTGGTTAGAATAAGGAAAGACATGTGTTTCTCGATTTTTATTTCGACGAAAGATATTTACGACGTAACGCCTTCCAAAATCCAAACATGTGGTAGCTAGAGCAGACTCCAAGTCGAACAAATACACACGCATTGATCTCTGCCGATTGTCGCCTTCTACAACATAACTATTACATAGTACCACATATATGTGAATGCTATTTTTTCACTGATTTTTTTTTGTGCACATTTTTCACTGTTTCTTCTTCTTTCTTCTTAACTTCGCACCCCGTTTCCTTATCAGCCAGCCTCAAGTCTCTAACGCGTAATTTTTAATCGTTGTATCAGTATACTTATAAATCATACGTAAAATGAAGGAGAACTTCGGTTTAATTTTGTACTTTTAAATGTATTTTATGTATTTATTTGTATGCTAATGTTTGTTTCCATGATTTCTATGATGTAAAGGCAAATGAGTAAAATTTTGACACAACTATAGTTCTAATATAGAACTTCTACGTGCTTGTGTCAATGTCTTCGATCGTTTCAAACGTAAATTCAATGTGCTTTCATATGAAAACAAAAAATATTAATAACATTCACATTTTTGAAAAGAAAAACATTTAACTTAAAAAAAAGATTAGCTTCGAAAGAGAGAACAACATTATAAATAACATACATTATAAGTAACATTGAATAAAATGATAAAATTAATAAAGAAAATTGGTTTTTATGGGAACGCAAACAAACAGTTTAGGCCAATATCCATATATATATATTTGTGTTCGCTTTGTTTATATATTTATCTTTTCTAATATCTTCATTCTTCATCCCCATACACAAAATAAGAGATCTCCAAGATAATTTCCACATAAAATTTTTTAGCTCGAAAAGATGTACTTGAGAACAATGGCGTCTTCTTCGCCACCACCACCGCCAACATCCCTAACATCACAACAATCATCATCGCAGCCGTCACAGCTTCCCCTCCGTAAGATGCCAGGATCGTACGGTTTGCCGTTGGTCGGACCGTTATCGGACCGTTTAGATTACTTCTGGTTCCAAGGACCGGATAAGTTTTTTAAGACAAGAGCAGAGAAGTACAAGAGCACTGTGTTCCGTACCAATATTCCTCCAGCGTTTCCTTTCTTTGGCGACGTAAATCCTAATATCGTCGCTGTCCTCGACGTCAAGTCTTTTAGCTATCTATTCGACATGGATCTAGTTGATAAAAGAGATATTCTCATCGGAGATTTCCGGCCTAGCCTTGATTTCTACGGTGGTATTCGTGTCGGAGTTTATCTTGACACCACCGAGCCGAAGCACGCCAAGGTCCGTACATACGTTGCTTTTACTAATTGCTAGTATTACAAGCTCGTATTATAAGTAATATCAAGTGATTAATATGGTACCACCGTTGAAATCGAGCTACGAGATTTAACCGAACCTAACTCGCCATTATGAATGAAACAAACAAAAGCAGATCGATGGTTGGTGGAAAACATATAGTTTTTGATTCAATAGACCATTAAGTACGTTATTTATTATTTGTCAATCGCCAGTAGTACTTTTATCTCTTAACTATTACGGAGGAATATTTTAAAAACTCAAATCCTTTTTAATCTTCTTTTAGAGGTTTGAACATGTCAGGTCAAAGGCTTTGCAATGGAGATACTAAAACGAAGCTCGGAGGTATGGCTACGAGAGCTTCTCTCAAACCTCGACAAGTTATGGGAAACAGTAGAATCCGACATAAAAAAAAACGACGACGGCGCTTCGTACCTCATTGCTCTCCAACGCTGCATCTTCAACTTCCTCTCCACAGCTCTCACCGGAGCAAACCCTTCAGCGTCGCCGGACATCGCCGAGAACGGTTGGCAAATGCTCGACAAATGGCTCGCTATTCAGGTCATCCCCACCACCAAGATCGGCTTTGCTCAGCCGCTCGAAGAGATCTTCCTCCACTCCTGGGCTTACCCTTTCTTCCTAGTCGCCGGAGATTACCAAAAGCTTTACAATTTCATAAACGAGAACGCCGGAGATGTTCTCCGGCTTGGGGAAGAGGAATACGGGTTGACCCGGGAAGAGACGGTTCATAATCTCCTCTTCGTGTTGGGTTTCAACGCGTACGGGGGCTTTTCCGTCTTTTTACCGTCTCTCATCGGGAGAATCGCCGGAGATAGTTCCGGTCTCCAGGAGAGACTGAGAACCGAAGTGAGGACGGTTTGCGGGTCCGGGTCGGTTCTGAATTTCCGGACGGTTAACGAAATGGAGCTGGTTAAGTCCGTGGTTTACGAAACGCTGCGTTTAAATCCGCCGGTTCCTTTACAGTACGCACGTGCGAGGAATGATTTCAAGATTAGCTCACACGACGCCGTTTTTGAGGTTAAGAAAGGAGAGCTTCTCTGCGGTTACCAGCCGCTGGTGATGCGAGACGCTAACATCTTTGACGATCCGGAGGAATTTAAACCGGATCGGTTTGTAGGTCAGACCGGGTCCGAGTTGCTTAATTATCTGTTCTGGTCCAATGGTCCACAAACCGGTACGCCGAGCGAGTCGAACAAACAGTGTGCAGCCAAAGACATCGTTACTATCACGGCTTGCTTGATCATCGCCGATTTATTTCTCCGGTACGATAAAATTATCGGCGACGCAGGGAGTATCAAGAAAGTTGTTCCAGCCAAATGAGGAAGACTCATTAGTTCTTCCACGGTTTCATATCATAATGTTAATGTTTGGAGTGTGTGAATAAGATTTAAACTAAAACAATGCGGTCTGTAACAGAAATTGCCAGAGGTATTTTCTTTTAAGTTTATACTAGATCTCAACCCGCGCAACCGCGCGGGTATTTGTTTTCATTTATTTTTATATAAATATTTTGTTTTTACTTCTAAATTTGTATATATTATCTAAGGTGTGCATATCGAAAATGATATATTCTATAAGGTGTGTATATCGAATATTGTGATTAATTATTATATAGTATAGATTAATTATTGTTAGAAAATGATATTTTGTCATTTTAAAAAATAAACTATAATTTTTAAAGTTAACATCAAAAATATATAAATAATTAACTTAAAAATATTACAATATTAAATTATATAAGTTTATTTTAAACATGTATTTTATTATACTATCTATAAATTCAATGGATCATCTAATTTTTATTAGCCCAATAAAAATTTCTAGTAAGCCCAATAAATGTTATTAGTAAATCTAATGAATGTTATTAATGATTAAATATATAATGTGACAAACTCTAGTAGATAGTCCATTTTATAAAAAATCACACATGGATGAGAAGTTATGACTTCTCTTTTAATATAATAGATGTTCAGCGACATAATTTTAAGAGTTATCTTAAGTATGATCTCAGAAAATTTGAAACTAGCAAAAGCATATTTGCAAAAATAAATTTCAGACTACGGCGTCACATTCTTTGCCCCAGATCAAAACGACGTCATATTCATGAACAGCCTCGAGTTGCTAGCGATTTTTTAAAGACGGAACGGAACTCGTGTTTCTCATCGTCTTTGTCTTCTACTCCGCTTGTAAACAATGGAATCGATTGGAAAGAGTTTCCGCCCAGCTTTGAGTTTATAACAACGTTGTGTCTAAAGCTATCGCGGGAGGAATAAGTCATATTTATTAGGGAAAAATAGCATTTTCAAAAATACCACTTTGGTGGTACCACTTTTCATGTTTACTATCAACAAAGGAATATTTTCAAAAATACACATTTTATTAAAGGATAAAAGATTTTTAGGAAATTGCCAGAAATAACACTTTCAAGATACCACTTTTCAACTTTACACTAACCAACTTTACCACTAAAATTTTAATAGTCAAAATACTATTAGAATTTAGGGTTTAGGGTTTTGGGTTTAGGATTGATAGTTTAGGGTTTAGTGTTGATTTTTAGGGTTTAGAGTTTACTTTTCAGGGTTTAGAGTTTAGGGTTTAAGGTTTAGAATTGATATTTTAGAGTTTAGGGTTGATTTTTAGGGTTTAGGGTTTACTTTTTAGGGTCTAGAGTTTAGACTTGATGTTTTAGGGTTTAGAGTTAATATTTTATTTAATATTTATTTTATGTATATATATAAAGAACAAATATATAAGAGTATTTTATCCTTTAATAAAATGTGTATTTTTAAAATGTTCCTTTGTTGATGGTAAACATGAAAAGTGGTACCACCACAGTGGTATAATTGAAATTCTCCCAAGACTCTTATATCCTTATTCTTTATATATATACATAAAATAAATATTAAATAAAATATTAACCCTAAACCCTAAAACATCAATTATAAACTCTAGACCCTAAAAAGTAAACCCTAAACCCTAAAAATCAACCCTAAACCCTAAAATATCAATTCTAAGCCTTAAACCCTAAACTGTAAATCCTAAAAAGTAAACCCTAAACCCTAAAAAATCAACACTAAACCCTAAACTATCAATCCTAAACCCAAAACCCTAAACCCTAAATTCTAATAGTATTTTGAGTATTAAAATTTTAATGGTAAAGTTGGTTAGTGTAAAGTTGAAAAGTAGTATCTTGAAAATGTTATTTCTGGCAATTTCCCATGAAATTTTTTCACTAGCATTTTAAATCTTCAAAGTGGCATTTCTGTCATAAAAAAACTTTGAATTTGAAATTTTGACCTCTTGAACATGTCAAACAAATCATTTATTAAGTTGTTTCAAAAAATAAATATTTAATAAATAATCAAAAAAATAATAAAAGCCAATTAAATTTTCAAGAAAATTAAAGAAAATTAAAGAAAATTTCAGAACATAAAAAAAATTTATAAAAAAATAATTTCAAATAAAAAAAATTAAATAAAATTCTAAAAATTAAAGAAAATGCACAAAATTGAAAAAAAGTAAATAAAAATCAAAAACTAAAATAACATTTTTAAAATAATTAAAGAAAATTTCAGGACATAAAGAAACATTTTAAAAAATTGAAAACTGTTTGAAACCATCATCATCAATAGTGATATATTTGAAATTTTTATTCTCAACAATAATATTTCAGATTTTCGACAAAGAAATCTTGTAATTTTTATGCAATTTCCAATAAAATTGACATATCAGCGTTGACAAAAAAAAACATTCAAGCATATATATCACTGTTGAAGTTGATTGTTTCAAATAGTTAAAAACATAATCTTGTAATTTAAAAAAAAAAAACTGGTTTCAAATAGTTAAAAACATAAGCTTGTAATTTTCAAAAAATTATTTTGAACTTTTGAGTTTTCAATTTTGTGAATATTCTTTAACTTTTGTTTAATTTTCTGAATCTTATTTAATTTTTGGTATTTCAATTTATTTTTTTATAAAATTTTCTTATATTTTTTTGAAAATTGATATGATTTTTATTTATTTTTTGATTATCTATTATATTTATATTTATTAAATATTTATTTCTCTTAAAAAACTAATAAATAAAATATGTAATTTATCAGGTTTTTACGAGAAGTAAATATTTAATATATATATTAATTTAATAAATATTCAAAAATATAAATAAAAATCAAATGAATTTTCAAGAAAGTTTAGTTTTGTGATTTTTTGTGAATTTTTTGTTTAATTTCCCGAATTTTATTTAATTTTTGGTATTTGAAATTATTTTTTAAATAAATTTTTTTATGTTCTGAAATTTTCTTTATTTTTTTTTGAAAATTAAATTGAATTTTTATTATTATTTATTAAATTGTTTTTCGAAAAAACTTCATAAATGACTTGTTTTACCTATTCAACAGGACGATTTTCAAGTTCAACATTTTTTGTGACACAAATATCACTTTGAAGGTTTAAAGTGCTAGTGAAAAGTTTTCAAAGTTTAAAGTGCTAATAATAGTCACTTTGAAGGTTTTTTATGCGATTTTTTCTATTTATTAGGGGAATGTTCAAAAGAAAATATTGCACCGTAAGACAATTTTAAGTTTTTAATATGGCAGTTATGATTATTGAAGTAGTTTTTGTTAACTAAAGTCACTAATCTAGTTAATATGATCCCATGATTTTTGAAAATTAGTTACTTTTTTTTTCTCTCGGGACATACTAGACATATGAAACAAAAAAATATATTAGAAAAACGGGCAATGACCAAAATAGCATTTTTAAAATTTTTGTCTCCAAAATAGCACAAGAAGGAAAAAGTCACAAAAATGACATTCATTAATGGGCAAGATGTCTCTAATACTCTCGCTTTAAATTAATACTAACTCTAAACATTACTATCAACACTAAACCATAAACCCTAAAAATACTAACTCTACATCTTCAACTCTAAATCCTAAAACATCAATCCTAAACTCTAAACCTTTCTAAACCCTAAATCATCAATAATGAACCCTAAACCCTAAAAAAATCCTCAATCTTTAACACTAAAAAAATACCTTAAATCATAAACCTCAATTCTAAACCATAAAGCCTAAAGCCTCAAGCCTAAACCATAAACCCTACACCATAGAAATAAACTCTAAACCCTAAAACCTAAGCTCTAAATCACAATTCTAACTTAGGTTCAGAGTTAAAATTTCAGAGTATAGGGTTTTAGAGTTGATGTTTCAGTGTTTAGGGTTTAGAGTTGTAATTTCAGGGTTTGGGTTTATAGTTGAAGTTTCAGGGTTTGTAATTGATTTTTCAGGGTTTAAAGTTAAAATTTCAAGATTTAGGGTTCTAGAACTGATGTTTCAGGGTTTAGAGATGAAGTTTCATGGCTTAGGGTTTTAGAGTTGGATTTTCAGACTTTAGGACTTAGAGTTGAAGTTTCGGTGTTTAGAATTGAAGTTTCGGGGTTTAGGGTTTTACAGTTGGATTTTCAGGGTTTAAGGTTTAGGGTTTAGAGTTGAAGTTTCAGGGTTTAAGGTTTTAGAGTTGATGTTTCAAGAAATAGAGTTGAAGTTTCAGAGTTTAAGGTTTTAGAGTTGATGTTTCAGGGTTTAGAGTTGAAGTTTCAGGGTTTAGAGTTGAAGTTTTAGGGTTTAGGGTTTTAGAGTTGATGTTTCAGAGGTTTAGAGGTAAAACATCAGGGTTTAGGGTTTTACAGTTGATGTTTCAGGATTTAGGGTTTAGATTTGAAGTTTCAGAGTTTAAGGTTTTAGAGTTGGTGTTTCAGGGTTTAGAGTTGAAGTTTCAGGTTTTAGGGTTTTAGAGTTTTAGAGTTGATGTTTTATGGTTTAGGGTTTAGAGCTAAAGTTTTAGAGTTTAGGGTTTTAGAGTTGATATTTCAGGGTTTAGAGATTAGGGTTGAAGTTTCAGGGTTTTAGTGTTGATGTTTCAGGGGTTTAGAGGTAAAACATTAGGGATTAGGGTTTTATAGTTGATGTTTCGGGATTTAGGGTCTAGATTTGAAGTTATAGGGTTTAAGGTTTTATAGTTGATGTTTCAGGGTTTAGAGTTGAAGTTTCAGGTTTTAGGGTTTTAGAGTTGATGTTTCATGGTTTAGGGTTTAGAGTTAAAATTTCAGGGTTTAATGTTTTAGAGTTGATATTTCAAAGTTTAGGAATTAGAATTGAAGTTTCAGGGTTAGGATTTTTTTGGGTTGATGTTTCAGGGGTTTAGAGGTAAAACATCAGAGTTTAGGGTTTTAGAGTTGATATTTCAGGATTTAGGGTTTAGATATAAAGTTTCAGGATTTAATGTTTTAGAGTTGATGTTTCAGGGTTTAGAGTTGAAGTTTCAGATTTTAGGGTTTTAGAGTTCATGTCTCAGGGTTTAGGGTTTAGAGTTGAAGTTTCAGGGTTTAGGGTTTTAGAGTTGATATTTCAAGGTTAAGGGATTAGAGTTGAAGGTTTCAGTGTTAGGGTTTAGAGTTGAAGTTTATGTGATTAGGGTTTAGAATTGATGTTTTAAGGTTTATGATTTAAATTTAAAGTTTTAAGGTTTTTGCTCCAAAAAAAAAAAAAAAAAAAAAGTTTCAAGGTTTAGGG